CAATTAGCATAGTATGCATTCCTACACTCATTGGCACAGGGTGCAATGTAATGCAATTGCTGGGGAAAATAGTAGACCCACTCTGGTGTGATGGTGAGTATATCAGACATATTGGGAGCACACACATGGCTGTGTCTAGTGATATTGTTAGATGTGCATACTCTCACTTGTCAGGCTACATATGTACTGGATACCTCAATGTCATACTGTCTGAATCCTCAAACATTAAACATTGTGCTCTCATCTTGAGCATTCACTCCAAGATATCATAGAGTGGCCACAGGTAACACCCAATGTGGTACTGTTACTATTGTGTCATGAAAGCTGATTGGCAGCCTTGTGGCACCTGTGATTGTAGACAAATTGGTATCATACAATGTTGAAGTACTTCAAGATAGCTACAGAGAGGTCCCCCAATTTATTGGGGATTTATGCGATTTTTCTGGGCCCAAATCAGTAGGTTTCATCCTCAGAATGAATATTCTGCGCATTTTTGACTGCTTTTTCGAAGTCACATGTCCAATGACGTGGGATCGCAGCAGTTGCAGCGAAAACACCGCTGCGAGTGTTGCGACCCCACGTCATTGGTCATGTGACTGGCTAGTGGCTATTGTGCCTGTTCTGGTACAAAAGAGACATGTATACAAAGATAGTGATGTGTAGCTAATGTGAACCATGGAAATGTACATTTCAGGCAAGTTGTGGGAGGGCTTATTGCACAAGAAGTATCACAAAAGCTCACAATGCCCTAAATGGTGAGCAACCTTCCAAATCCAGTAATTCTTCATAAAGTGAATGTCTGGTGGTTCATAAATTGCAGATAAATCAGAAGATATTCATAGAGCACTATGACATGTTTATGAGGGATGTGCCATTTACAATATGTTACCATATATGGAAGGTAAGCTATAATACCATGTACAAGCATGAAATCAGCCAACCTTGCCCATTCTGAGCTCTGTTGTGGCACCATAAAACATTTTCATGATGTCTGACACACATGGCTATACTGTATAGGTCATGTGCTCCACATCTAGGGTGAAAATAAGCAGTTCAAATTCTGCAAAGTCTCTTGTGTTTTTTTTTGTATTTTGCATTTCCTGGCCTAACTAGCCACTATTGGGGCCCAACAAAATTACTGTAGACTCTATGAAACAAGGGCTACAAGTTGACTATATAATTGCCATATCCATTTGTGGGTGCTTACTGTTGCAAAAAGTGATTGATTCTATTGGAGCCCAGTGTCGCTGGTGAGGTCACATGCCATGCTCACCACTTTCCATATTGGGCTCCAAGCTAGACGTTACAGGAGTCCCAAGTCCATGGGGAATTGTCAGCCACAGCATTTGTTTGCAGGTGTTGGTGCAAGTCACGTCGTCTGGGAGCCTGAAATTTGAAACTCAGCTAATGTAAGCATAGTAAATGTTACTTATCTTTGATTATCTGGCGCTCAAACAGTCACATGCACTGTGGGAAAAACCTGCCACATTGGGCTCCATGCTAAGTGTTACATTCTCTCCAGTCATAAGAACGATTCCTTCGTACCTCAGGGATCGTAAAGAAACTCCACATTGCAGAGCTGAAGGCTACAATGGAGGGACTGATCATCATCACAGGCACATTTCCCAATAAGCAAGGGATCAAAGACCTTTCTATTAGCACTATCTGGAGTGTGACTTGTGAAGACCAGCATACCCACCTCATACCACCAAAGCTACAAGGCAAGATCATTGACTACAATCCTCGTAGTGATCCAATTCTTTTTACCAAAGCATGTAGTACTTCCTTTCTATCAGAGCCCTCTTGAATGCTAACTTAGTGTAACACTGCTCCGGTGTTACGCACTTCCACCCACAGTTGCTTCCATTCATGGACTCATAGCATTTGCTTCCGCAGCACCTTAAGTGCTGTGTGTCTTGTTTGTCTCACTTTCCACTTTTGGTAGTTGTACATGTTCGTGCGTCCTGTGTCGCCCATTCCTTAGTTCTTACTTCGGGCAATGCAGTTGGTGCCTGTTCGGCTGTTCCGGTGTTGTCTGATTGAGTGAGTGCAGTACACCAACTGCGCTACACTTAGCCTATCATAGGCCAAGAACATGGTGGCAACCTTCTGAGGCACCTTCAAGGCAGCTGCAGCTCACCTTCTTCCTTTCACCCATTGCAACTTCCTAGTCCCTGCCGAGGTGCACAATGTCCTCAACCACGACCTCAGCAAGATGATGGTCGACAGCACAGAGGCCTGCTTGAGTAGGAAGACCTGGAACAATGAGGTCATTGATGTGAGTGTCACAATGACACCGCTGCTGCACGTCATGGACCTGTTTAATGAGGTATGCTGATTATTGTTTGAACTAAACATGTAGTACATTTACTGACAGATAGTACTTTCTGTACAGCACACCATTTCTCGAGCATTTGAACGCAAGGGTCTGATCCCTGCAATCCTTGATGCTGTGTTGTTCCAACAGGTGGGTGGCTTGGGCCATACACGCGCAGCACTCTTCAAAGATGGGATACCAACTCAGGTGATGGCAATCATGGCCATGGCCATGATCTGCTGCACAGACAAATTCTACAAGGCTGGTATGATAGATGCAAAGAAGAACTTCAGTGCTGACGTCTACGAGCGCAACACCCTTCAAATTGCCACTTATGTTGATTACCTCAAGGCCGCAAACACTGATGTGGGCGCCTGATTCAGGCAGCTGAACACAAATATTGTTCATGCAGGGAAGTGAGTGGATTTCACGTATATTATCTCAGTTTTTGTTTTACCCATGTTCCTAGGCTGTGGGCAATCACCCTAGGATTTTGATATTTTAAATTTTAAATTAATCCCTCATAACTCACCATGGCTATATAAGCCAGGCCATCCAGGTGAGGATGACCACACCACCATGTCGAAGCTTGATGCCAGGTGCTGGGCCTCTAGGGCCTCTGAGGATGCAGGCAGAACTCCACACCCAATATGCCCCAGAATTCAGGCTTCAATCTGAAACCTGGCCCAAATGGTGTGCTGGTATGTGACTCTGAGTCATTGTGTGCTGCTGTTGTGGATCTGTGTCTTACTCAGTTGATTTCCGAGTTAATACCAATATTACTGAGATACTACCGAGCAATAGTACCGGTTTGTATTGATAGTAACAAACAGTGAATAACTCGGAAATGTTGGAAGGGGGTTTTGGAGTATGGAGAGCCTCAACTAGAACTCAAGGAAAAAGGGAGCAGTAGTTATGACTACAGATCACAATAACAACAATCAAGTAGGGAATTTCCACCAGTGCTGTTGTACAAGTACACAGTACCAGCCCTTAATTGGAGAGAACCTCTGATCTCAATAAAGATGTCCTTCAATTGAGGGGATGGTGCTTGCACTGCTACAATACAGTTATGGTTGTATTGCTTAGTGCACACCGTAGACAGTCCACCTCATTGAACTCTAAGTTGCTAACACTTTACAGAGCTCGACTTAGGCCTTTGGAAATTGCTCTGAGGCACACTGCAGCCAACAATTACTGGTTTGTACTGATAGTAACAAAGAGCAAATCACTTGTAAATGTTGCAAAGAAGTAAGGAGAGCCTCTAAGCTCAACTAGAACTCAAGCAAGGGGAATCTGGGGGTTGACTACAGTAACCACTACTCAGTAGGGACTTGCTGTCAGTGCTGTTGTACAAGTATTAGTCCTTGATAAGAGAGAAATTCTGATACAGAACAATGTCTTTCAATAAATTGTTAACAGTACTTCACCAAGTACAAACTAATCAACAGTGGAGGATGAAACAATTATACAGAGTATACCAGCACGGAATGCTGAGAAAAGGCCTTTACAGAATTGATGTGTTATACAAGGAATACAACCAAAGACTGCAGTTTGCTCTCACCATAAGCAAACACTAGTTACCAGACACTGACCAATACAAAGCCATACTAAGGTATGTTACTGGATTGGAGCTCAGCCCCTGAGTCAATAGTAATGGGCCATGTATAATGTGAAGCAATGTATCACCATGGTAAGTGCCATCAAGACTGATAGAGTCATGGGCAGCATTGATCACTGATGAATTGAAGGTACATAAGAGTACAGGAGCAAGGCAGATGAGAGAAACATTTGGACTTGCTCATAGGGATGCTCCTGTGCATTTCCCACGTGCACAGCCTTTTGGCTACATAAAATACTTCATAGAATCATAGAAAATAGTAGAAGACTCAGGAAACCACTTTCCAAGGCCATTCAGGATGCACAATTACAATCCCTGAGGTACTAAGGTATTGTTCTTATGATGGACCACCATGAAATGCCTTAGTGATTCCTCCGGAATGGCAGTTTGTTCCCACAGTGCACGTGACATTCAGCCACCCAGATAAGTAGAGATAAGTAACTGTTAGTATGAGTTACTTATCTGAGTCTGAAATTTCAGACTCCCAGACGACACGACTTGGACCAACAGATACAAACAAATGCAGTGGTTAAGTGCTCAGTTATGGATATGAGGCCATGAAACACCTTAGCAGTTCCCCAATAAGGAAACTGGTAAACATACCATGTGACTGGCAGCTGGGTGGCTCAATGCTGCAAGCACTTACACACTGTAGTGCCTATATAGTCTCAGCAAGTAACAAATCATAGTATACATAATATGCTCCCGTTATAGTCCTTCATTCACAGAGTATACAGCAATTTTACTCAGTATAGACAGTCACTGGTTAACTCAGAAAATGCAAAACAAAAATGCACATATGCCTCTGCAGATTCAATGTTCTTCCCCAGCAAATCTCTGATGTAGCCAATGGTACAATACTAGAATTGGCCTTCATGAGAAGGAGCATCAGCAGCCTTAGTGCTTCACAGTAGTATATCCAGAGTTGGACCCAGTACATATACAATGCATGTAAGATAGTCCTCAGCCAAACCCAGGCCTTGTGACAGTCCGTGATGTGCACGTGAAGTAACACTACCTGAAAGGGAAACTCATGAAGGCAATGGGTCTGCGAGCTGTACACTACTTGCCTGTGGTACAAATTGACGCATCGTACACCTATAAACAGTACAGTGAGTGATGGTGAGCCCGTAGCAAGCTATCGAAGGGCTGCTTTATCAAGATCATCAAAATTTGACTCGGAAATGACGCAATGTCCCCTGTACTTCTTCCCTGCATATGCAGCTTGCTGCCTGTTCAAGCCCTTTTGGTACACATCCATGAAGTGGAATGAGCGTGTGGCGAACCTGTCAGATGTGTCAATAAGTAAGTCCTTCAATCTCCCTCGGCGAGGAAAATATACACACCGTCAAATCGACTTGAGTGGAACAGACTCCAAGGCCGTCTGGACATTGTGCTCGAGGTCGGCCTCATTTGTGGACGAGGGGTAGTTGCGGTATTTCCGCTTTGCATAACCCCAGCATTGCTCAATAGGATTCAGCTCCGGGTGGAACTTCGGCAGGAACAACACAGGACAGCCCTGTGCAGAGCATGCCTCCTCGACAAGAGATTGAACATCTGCAAAGTCCCTCTCCGAGAACAACATGCGCCGGCAGCAGCAATTGGTACGTCCTTTTGGACAATTGAACTTTGGGCATTCTGTTCGTAAGCCCATGATCTCTGTGCGCTGCTTCGGGTAGCGTTCAATCAAGAGCTGTGCCATGCCCTTGAACTTCCCCGCTAGCTCGGGATGCTCGGGGAAGGTGTCAGGATAATACAGGTGCTGCATTGACCCATCCGCAAACTTTGCATCACCCATTTTGATGTGATGCTTCAGAGGCTTGCCATCCGTGCCATGTACGAGCTTCCCGTCACCATCCTTAACCTTGATATCAACACCGAATCGCTGGGCACACGGCTGTGACGGACTCGGTCCCTTCGGCATCTTGCGGGCAGATAGAGCATTGTCTGCCCACTTCAGGTGAGTCGATGCATTGTCAAGGATGAAGAGATGCTCATCCTCTGGATAGAGCTTCTGGACGAGATCCATTGCTTTCTCCAACTGGGAGATGATCTCTTTGCTCGTGAAGTAACCATCCTGGTCCTTCCCCGCTTTCCAGTACACCCTTGCTGACTCGTTGCTGTCAGGCGATCGCAGCCAGCCACCATCTGCGGATATGAAATTGGCAACCATGAATGATGTGCCTTCTCCCTTCGGTTGCGGGACAGCCTTCTCGTCTTTGTGTACCCAATAGACACGCCAACGATTGTTTGCATAGAATGTGCTTTTGTCGTGGAACCAGATGATCAAGCGGTGCTTCCTTGGACGTGGACCTGAGTAAGGAATTGGGTCGCCATTTGCGTCGTACGTCTGGAGGCGATCCTCGATGTCAGCGAGTGCCGGGAGGAACACATTTTGTCGGTATGTGACCACATCCTCTCGCTTGTGCCCGTCGATATACTGCCCCCGTGGACCTACACTCCAGCAGTAATCCATCTTGTGCATCCAACGTTGTGCGGTGGTGAGGGAGGGTGCATAGCCATCAAGTTCATATTTCTCCTGGACCTCGGGGGTCTGGAAGAACTGGATGATGTCTGCTGCCTTGCACTGTTTTCCAGTCCCCTGCAAGTGGAGATGAATCTCGCTGACCAGCTCATCATCTGTTAGGATGGATTCATTCCACATCCCATACAGGTTGTGTGGCAGGTCATTCCGATCTGCGATGTAGGCCTGGCACCACCGTCTGACAGACTCGGCAGTGCCAGATCCACCATCAAGGGCTCGGACAGCCTCAATTGATGCCTTCTTCCAACTCATTGGCTCAATCGGATCTGTGTAATTTTGCAATGTTGCGCGCATCATCTGCAGGTGTTTGTCTCCACTGAAGTGCTTGAAGCCCTTCCCCGACTTCCGTCGCGGCCGGAGAAGGTTGCAGATATCCTGCCAAGCAGCCTCAGCTTTGGCAGTGCTTGGTGCAGAAACGAATTTCCCATGAGTCTCCGCATTGCTTTGCGAGCCCTCCGAGCTTGATCCCGGTTGACAGATGTCGTCCACATCGGGAACATCTTCAATTGTGACTTGGCGACTTGGAGTTGGACTCGCTGTTGGGCGACCGTGGTATGGCAGTTCCGAGTCGGCAGGTGATCTAGAGCTCGATGGCTCAGCATTCGAGTCGACATCCATGTGAGTATTGGAGTCTTTCTCAGGGTTGGTAGGTGTAGGTGTTTGTTGACGGGTCTGTTGCCATGTAGGCCTCGTTATCTCGTCCAGTAGTGAAGCCAAGCTTGCTGCGAGGTCATGGAGTCGTTCTCGCGCCCTTCCAAATGTTGTATAGACTCGGTGTGTCATGGGTGTGGTATTGGGATCCTGCAGAACAGGCTCTCCATAAGTCGGAGGTGTCTCTGGGCGACTCGGAGGACTGGTACTCTGCAACAATACATCAATTTTTTCGTGCCTCATATGATTTGCACCTGCACATACAGCATCCCTGCAAGGACTGGATTGTTTCTGCCGTTTTCTGGGGACCCAATCCCCCAGATTGGCTATGGCCTGACAGATTTTCCGTTTTCTTATGGGCATTTTGAGTCTTTTCGCTGAGTGGCTCTGTACGGCGCCTGTGCGCTGCCTTGTTTTGGAGGGTGCTGACTAATAGAGGCACTGGTCACATTTAGTCGTGTTTCGCTCTCTCAGTCACAACAGAGGCGAAAAAAAGCTTCTGGCGCGAACTTCACTGCAATAAATGCTTTGAACCAGATTTGGGCCAACAAACTTGTTATATTTCTATTGTATCTACAGTTTAGAGACATCCAGGTGTTCTCGCCGGCCAAATTGGGTGTAAGGTGCCAGAGGTGTTACAGGTGCCACCACATGTTATGGACGGGGTTTGGCTGAGGCCTATCTTATGCTGTTTGCTGACTTGCCTTACATAAATCAGTGTACTTGAACTGGTGCAATGATGCACTCTAAATATTACACCATTTTGTATAGCATTTACTGGGCCAATAAAGCCTTGCCCAGTGTTAAATTCCCAATTGGGAATGGTACCTACCATAGGTAGTAATCTTGATTATGTGATAGCTCTTCTTTCATTGGCCCTCTCATACATTCCATAGCCTTCATAGCTCCCTAGGTTGGGCATGAAGTGCAAAATAGAGCTTGAACATGTACATTATTACCTCCAAAAGCATTGATGTGACTGTTGTTTACAAACCACATACTCTATGACATGGGGCCATGTGACACTGAGAAAGTGGTCAAAGATATGCAAGGTGTTCATTCTGAGGTCAAATCACCTCCTTGTAGGTTCAGAAAAATTCCCAAACTCCGCAGAAAATTCATGGAGCACCAATGAGTTACATATGGGTGGTCATAGTGCTCTGGCAGTGTTGTGCCACACATTAGATCAAGTCTAGGCTGGTTACAAGAATTATGCAGACCGCATGCTGCTATGAAAGGAAAAAAAACTTTGATGTTGTTCACAAAATTCTCATGTCCAGGTTCTTGCTCTTCATTGGATAGTCATCACCATGCCTGTGCCAGATCCCTGAGGTCATCAGTTGGCAGTTTTAGCTGTAACATAACCTGGAAAATCTACACATGCCCTCATTTGTTGGCAATGTCTACTCAATATAAATCCTGAGCTACAAACATCTATGCCCACTGAACTGATTTATGTATAGAAACATATATTTGTGTTGCCAGTAACATGCTATGAAGGAATCACAGACTAAGAGAGGAGGAGAATCAGGTCCATGGATGAGCATCCCAGGAAGGTTGCTAAGCCTTGTGACTTATTTCATGGCTCTAGTATTGCTGATACCTACTATCACACACACCCCATGGGCAATAGATTGCCTCACTACCCATTGAGGTTTATTTGCTCTGCCATGCTTTCACATAGTACACTTATTATGCAGCCCTTCCTTCAGGAAATCTACCCAAAAGTTATATTCACACAATGATCATATACCAAAGATTCAGGCCGGCTCTCAATAAGTGAGTAATGTATTTGTGGCATCATACTTGCCAATGTATCCAGTGGGATATGTTGATCCAGGTAACAACACATAGAACACATAGTGAGTCTAGACTACTTATTCTACTATTAAAATTTTAGGTTTAACAATTGTTGTGTTTAAATCCAGTCATAAGTCCATGCATATAATGGCTATCAAGCAGCCTAGATATCAGTTGCATAGAAGTCATACTTGCAATCGATCCCAGCAAAACAGTAAAGTCTTGCACAGGTCACACTTTTATTTCTCCAAATATGAGCCAAGGTTGATGCAGAGCTCATATGAGTGCACCAGCCTCACATCAATTCCAGGTTGACTTACAAACTCTGACATAGGGAAGTGCTGACATACTAAGTTGAGAATGTTGAATGAAGGCAATTGATGCTGATTACTGTCATTATCTGGTTGAATAAGCACTACCTACACATATTCCCTGACATGAAAGTCTTCCACTGTGCAAGTGGTATACTTCAGTATTCATTTAATCAAACCAGTAAAACTGTCAGACATAGTGAAACAACTTCAAACAAGGCAGCAAAGCTACAAATTGGAAAGAACTAGTGTGCAACTGTCACCTAACATATTGTTGGCTATTGGCCATATGGCAATATTGACATA